GTTTGCACCCGTAGCAACAGCTGGCGCAGCCTTCGCTGCGGCCACTCCCGATGCAGATGCTGGTGCGGTTGCCATGGCACCCGGCGATACAAGCAATAGTAATCTCAGCTGCTCCGTGCTGTCCCCCTGCAACAGCTCGATCGAGACGGCTACACTCAACAACATCTCTCCTTCTCTCTCCCTTACTATGGTACTGTGCGTCCTCAGTGAAAAAAATACTGCCCACTTAAATACGTATATTGCAACTGTTGGGACATCTGACGCCTAACGAATTCTACTGCTCTGACTAGCTGCCCGACTCTCTGCACCCCGTTGTCCCGCATTTTGTAGAGATTCGCGAGCTTCCGAGGATCACGGGCAAGTGCACGTGCGTGTTGCATCACACTCTCTGGAAATTCCTCAGCTGGCGCTCCACAGTCCTCTCCAACTCCGTCCTGGGCCCTGCTCCCGTCGGTTTGGTTCCCCCCGTTTTGATCAACCCCAGGGTGAAGGCGCTCTGGAAGGATCTCATGTCGACCGTGGGCACTTGAGCTGGGGGTCCCGTGGCCAGGTGGATCACCGTCCTGAGGTCGGGGCTCATGTTGCGTGAGTACTGAAGTTTTGCCTTGCGCTCCTGCTCTGGCGCTCCGTCTGGGCTGTAGCATTCCCTCAAACGGAACATCCTGAACAACTCGTCCACGTATGCTTTCCCGTACTCCTCTGGCCCTGCTGCTTCCATTCAAGACGCGAGTACTTTCTTGGCTTCTCCCTCGGTCCCGTCGTCCCCGAACGCGTCGTGCATCGCCCCGATCACCCCCGCCGCTATGTGCACGTGGGGGGGGGGCCAGCTTGTGTCCCTTTCCCGCTTCCTTTACAGCCTGGTGGTACCCCTGTCCAGCCTCGAAACCTTCTCGTATGATTGCGGCTGTGCGAGGGAGGATCCAGAACTCGGTGCAAATGTTGGCCATGTCTCTCTGCTCTGCTGCGACGCGGAGGGTTAGCTTCTGCACAGTGACCAAGGCTTGCTGGAGTTCTGGGGCTGCGGCGACGTTGTCTGCTCTCACTTGCTTGTGCCCTCTGCCCTTGCCACCTCCTCCTTTCCCAGACATCTGCTGGTCCCCACTGCTGCTGTCCGCTCCGCTGGCTCCTTCCACCGCCCTCTTCTTCTTCGCCGACGCCCAGGACACCCTCATCTCTGCCAAATCGTACTGTGTGCGGCCCAGGATGGTGACACGTGACGTGTGTCTGAAAGTCTTCGAACCTGCTAGCTTGATACGGGCAAACACTACAGATCAGCTCGCTCTCTCTTACCTCGATCAGCTTGTGCCCCCACTTCGAAAAAGCAATGTAGCAGATGCCCGTCCCCTCTGCTGCCCTTGCTGCATGATCCGTTGCCACTCTCTTACTGGAAAAGATCGATCTGCACCACGGGCACTGGTTCGTGATTACAAGCTTAGGTATGAGCGGCTCTATCTTGTGCTGCACTCTCCTGTGTGCTGCCAGTGCCGCTGCTGTCCGAAATCTGCACCCACACACTACGTCTGACCCCTCCGAGTTCACGCTCTTATAGTCGCACCAAAATCTTTTATTCAGTTCAGTTGGGTTTACTTCCTCGGGCTCTTTGGTTTCGGTATGTGGTCTACTTTGTTTCCACTCTCTTGCTATGCTATTCAACACTGAAGGGTCAGTCTTAAGCCACTTCTCTTTTTCTTCGGTTCCATCTGTAAATAAACTCATGTCGCTCGACCGTTTATCGTACCACTCCTGAAATTCTTCATCATTATTTGCAAGGTAGCGCATGTCCTCCAAATACTGCTTGGCCCACGGTGTGGGCTGTGTGATATTATTGTGCTCGTTGGTGCGCGTTATCCCTGTGCTCTGGTCACTCTTAGACGTGCCGAATACTGCTGCTATGACTGCCTCATGGTCGTTCGGGAACTGCGACCAACGCTTGTACCGTCTTAGCCTTCTGACCCTGAGCTCGTCTGCGCTCCTGTTGATCCTCCATTCCCTGAACACTTCCCCCACCGTCGTTGTCCTCTTCCTTCCCTGCTCGTCAGTCCAACAGTTCTTTCCCCTCGACAGGTATCTGAGTAACTTACACAGCATGACGTCTATCGTGTCCGTGTACTTCTTACTTATAACAAAGCAAGACAACCCGCTCAATGCTGCCCCCGCAATAAATGCCATAAAGATGTTGCGTTTGATCACCTTCGAGGTCTTGGACGACCAGAACGTGCTACACTGTCTCCACGCTGCTCTTGCTGCGTCGCAGCGCCTCCTTATTTCATTTCCTAGTCCCTGGTCCGAAGGTATATAAGGCCCCAACACTCTCATCTCTCGCAAAGCCTCTCCCCTGAGTCCACTAGTCTGCTTCCTCAGTGCCCGCGTGCTTTGGTAGCTTCGTTCACCTCGTAAAATTAGAAGGTGGTTTGTCTTGTCAGGGTTGAGCCGCCAATTTCCTGCTGTTAGGGCCTCCTCGAGTCTACCACTTACCAGGTTCAGCTGTTCTACCACTTCCTCTTTTCTTGCTGCGAAAGGTAGCATCGTTATTTTTGTAATATCGTCCATGAAGGTGCTAATGCTCAAGTCGTAGTACTTCTCATCTATGGGTTGCAGAGTGTCATTCACCTGCTGTCCTTCCTGTTCTCTCTCTCCCTCTAGCCAGCCTGTGACGATTGGGTTGTAGCTATCGTTTAAGTCACGTGGAGCCAGCGTGAAGCCCATCTGGGCTCCTTTGTTGCTTGTCAGGTCAACTCTTTCGCCGGCTGCCTGTAAGGACAAAGCAGTGTGCCCCAGCGCTCCATATGCATACGGGATGTCATGCTCCTCCGTGGTGCGATCAATTTGTTGTCGGAGTAACCCTCTGTCGGTCGATGCGAATGCGTTTGTGCAGTCAGAGTTGCTCATGATAAGCGATCTCCCTGCCTGCTCACATCTCCACTTCGTGGCCAGCAATACTCGCACTGCATTTTCCCGTGACCTATGCGCAAGTCCTCCGTGTGCGAAGTGAGGTCGAGTAATATGCAACGCTCTTTTATGTATCCCACTGTGCCATGCCATGCCAGCTGCGCAGTACGCGTGCATGGTGCGCTTTCCCGCTATTCCTATCTTATTATTTGCTTCCTCTGCTGCGAAGCTGTGCGATCGTAGCATGTCTAGCGGCATAGTCTGACATTGCCTGAAGTGCTCCATAAGCCTCAGCAACATCTTCGGTGCATCATATTCTACTTATCTAAATACTGGCATTCCCACTCCCGATAGTTCCGTTCTGCCAAACTGCCAGTGTGGGTCCTCGATAATTTCTTGTGCTGGCGCTCCCTCTGCTCGCTGACGTGCTCCTACTGTTTCGCCTGGGTTCCAACCTAACTTCTGCAGGATCTTTCTTCCTTTGGCTAGGATGTAGTGCGTGCTGTACTTCTCAAGCTCCTCCTCGTCATCCTCTTTCTCCGCTGCTCTAATCCTTTGTGCTTCTAGTCTCTTCGTTTTCTCGGTTGGTCCAAACAGGTTAATATGTGGCTCGATCAGCATCCACACCATTTCAACAGGGAGACCCCACTCTGGATATGCACGTCGTTTTTTTTTGCTGTTCTGCAGTGCGCTTTCATGGCCCTCAGATCTTTCTGCACTCTGTTTTTTAGATCACCGTCCGAGGGGAGGAATGGGAAGTCACCGTCATCCAGCTCGCAGTCATTTGCGTAGTCCTGCCTAGTCTGTTCCCAATCGAGCGGGGTGCACGCAAGCCCTCCCTCATGCGGATCACGACCTAGCTCCTCTCTCCACTGCTCGCCTGGCCAGTGACAACGGTGGCTGAAGTAAAATATCTTCTTTGGCCCCCGCCCGTTCCGCTGATACTCGACCCTTAGCCTGTGCATGTCAGCGAATCTGTTCTCTTTGTATGCCTCCCAGATCTCTCGAACGATACCTTCTCGCTCTGCAGCTACGTGTGCTTCCCTGAGCTCCTTCAGTGCTGCTGTCACTCGTTTCAGTTCCTCCTCCACCTTTGCCCTGCTGGTCTCTGTGCCCTCCTCGTGTAGTCCTTCTCTGTGCTGCCTCCTCTCCTCCAGTAGCTGCATCCTTCTCGTACGCATCATGCTGTATGTGCTGTCATTGCTGCGCTTTCCCTGCTTGAACGTGCCGTGCAACGCCGCGTTCACACACTCCACGTACTTTTTCCAAAGGAAATCAGGGGACGTCTTAGAATACAGCTGCTTCCAGATATCTATAGGTACCCTTTTTATATGTTCGTCTATCTTTGTGAACAACTCTTCTCTTCTGTAGCCTTTCTGCAGGCACCTCATCAAGCACCCCCGATCTATCTTGTCATTGTCACCTGTCGGGTACCCGTGGTTGGTGATTGACATCTCCACGTGTATGCCTATCGGGATGTGGTTCCTGAACCTCCTATCTGGGATCATCTGGAGTCTTTTTGCTGCTCTGTATAGGCAGCTGCACTGGGAGACAAGCGGGATGGCTCCGATGGGGACAGCCACGTGATCAATATGTGACTCTTGCCCCTTGGGGCCATAGAAGGTGGGTCCATGTTCGTAGAAAGTAGTTACCACTGCCAGCCCGTTCTTGTAGCAGAACTCTCTGTATGCCCTACCATTCTCGTTCTCGCAACATAGGTTCTTTCCTCCTAGGGTCGCGCTTCTTGTCCTCAGCATGGTACCGTCGTCATCGCTATGTATCCCTAGTCCACTATCCACGTCTCCTCCTATTATAATAGCACATCTCACCCCAAGTGCATCCAGCTGCTGGTCTATCCACCTGAATACCCTTTCTGCGACCAGTGAGTGCTTCGCATCACTCATCGGGGCGAGGTAGATACAGAAGGCCACGAAGTCAACTTCATTCGTCTGAATACGAATGCCGCCCACCCGCCCTCGTATTTGCACTGGTGGTACATATACAGTGTGCAGTGCTCGACTAGGTATCCGATTGTGTACCATAATCGTGACCCCGCATGCGTCCGACACCAACTTTCCTTTCCTCTTCCCAAAGTGCACTCCCCAGTGTCGCGCGTGTGCATGCTGCTGCGCTCCGTGGTCGGGCTGTGCCACTTGACATGTCCCAAAGACTAGCACCACGTCCCACGATCCCAACTCACTGGATATATCTTCGTGCCTCTCCTGCGATGCTGACAACGGATTGTATGTGCACACTCTCATAATTCTCTCCGTCAGAACAACTGCCAGAATCCTCCCAACGCTTTTCATGCATGCAGTATGCCTCCTGCAGGAGAGGGAGGTGAGGTACAGTATCTTCGCTCCTGATGGGGAAGGTTTCCTACCTTGGAGCGGGCTGCCCGCGCGCTGTGCACGTCTGAACCGGCAGCTGAGGAGGAGGAGGAGGAGGAGGAGGAGGAGGAGGAGGAGGAGGAGGAGGAGGATAGAGGATCTGCCTTTTCCTTTTCTCTTCGCTCACATCGCTCCCTCGCCTCCGGCCTCCTCACGGGGGGCAAGGCATGCCAGCAAGGACACGAAATGGCGAGAGCGGGAGGGGGAAGGAAGGAGGATCAGAGCCCGCGGCAAGGTCATGGTCAGGGTGCGCGATGCCTGGCCGCATCTTTGCCCGGGCACCGCGTGCCTCCGTCCTCAGGCGCACGGCACCGACCAGTGGGTGCTCAGAGGCGCATGCGCCCGAAGACCCCGGAGAGGCCGAGCATCCCAGGATGGAGGATGGAGGACGGGAGGGGAAGAGAAGGGGGGAGAGAAGACCAGAGTGGAGGGAAGACCAGAGAGGGAAGAGGAGGAGGATGGAGGACGGGAGGGAAGAGGAGGGGAAGAGGATGGGGGAGGAGGGAGGACCAGAGAGAAGCCATAGTGCAACAGCGATGCTGCGGTGCATCCTTCCGACCCGGGTCCCCTCCTTTCACGAGTCCCTCAGGGCCTTGTCCGTTCCCTGCAGGAAGCGCGCCCCCCCCCCCTGGAAGGTCGAGCACCTGATGGTCCTGCCGTTCTTGTGTGAGATCAGTCTTGGAAAGGAACTCCTCCTCCTCGCCTCCTCCTCCTCGCCTCCTCCTCCTCGCCCCCTCCTCCTCTTCCTCCTACTGCTCCTTGGAAGGGAACTCCTCCTCCTCCTCCTCAGCAGCATGATCATACTCGTCATCTTCCTCCCTTGCACACTTCAGCGTGGGATCAGGAGTGCGAAAAGGTAGGATCACACAGTTCATCCTGGCAGCTGTTGGACACGTTTAAGAAGACTGCGCGCGGCTCGACCCTGAAAACGACAGGCCTTCCATCGTTACAGCTTTTGGACTTGTTTAGCTTCAGGGTCGTAATTCGTGAGGCAGTCTCAGGCCAACCGCCTGGCCTGGCCTGGCCCGGACACGTTTGGTGGTTCGACAGGGGTTGAGTGGGGTCGTTATTTACAAGGAGGCGGGGGTGGCGGGGTGGGGGGCATGGGAACATGTTTGAATTTTGAATTTCCTTGATTGAGCGGTCGACCATCATCATCATCAGCAGCAGCATCAGCCTCATCAGCATCAGCATCATCATCAGCATCAGTATCATCATCATTACTACCATCAGCATTAGCATCAGCATCAGCATCAGCATCAGCATCGTGATCATCATCCGCATCATCCTCATCATTCTTATCATCATCATCATCATCATCATCATCATCATCATCATCATCATCATCATCATCATCATCATCATCATCATCATCATCATCATCATCATCATCATCATCACCACTATCATCATCATCATCATCATCATCATCATCATTATCATCATCATCAGCATCATCATCATCATCAGCATCACCAGCATAATCATCATCATAATCATCATCATCATCAGCATCATCATCAACATCATCATCATCATCAGCAACATCAGCAACATCATTCCGATATTCATCATCGTCCTTCCCCTCCGCGCCTCTCTTCTCCCCCTAAGCCGTGGGCGGGTCTGCCCGCGGGACCGTCCCCTCTCAGGAGGAAGTACTCGCCGCCGGGGGCACCTGGCCAGCCCCGAAGAACGACCGGCTCCTGCGCGCGGCGCGTGGGGGGGTCCATGCCTCCTCCATCCTCTTCCTCCCTCCCCCCCCCTCCTCTTCCTCCTCCTCCTCCAACCTCCTCCCTCATCCCTCTTCCTCCTTCCTCCTCCCTCCTCGTCCTTCTCCTCCTCCTCCTTCCTCGAGGGTACGCTTCCTCCTCCTCCTCCTCCTCCTCCTTCTCCTTCTCTCGTCCTCCTATTTCTCCTCCTTTCCTCCTAGATGGGGTCCGAGCAGATGGGATCGAAGGAACGCGCCGCAGCGCCTAGCATCGGCGATGCGTCTCGATGCGGAGCCAGATTTTCACCACGCCGACGGCGCCGATGCATCGCCAGCGTCGCCAAGGGATCGCCGATGCACCGGCGATTCTTCGCCGATCTATCGGCGATGCGGCGCGATCCTCCGACCCCATCTACTCGGACCCCATCTAGGAGGCCTCTGCGGGAGCCCCCAAGGGCTTGCCGACTTCTCCTGGGGAGCGAGGGGCCTCAGGCTTCCCGGGCTCCAGGTTCTTCGGGCATCCCGGGCTTCCTGGGTTCATTCCTGAGTTGGGCCTGCCTTAGGCAATGCCAACCATTGCCAAGCAATGCGAAGCCATGCCAAGCAATATGAAGCAATGCCACGGAACGCCAAGCAATGCGAAGCAATGCTAGCACTGCCAAGCAATGCCAAACAGTGCAAGCATTGCCAAACAGTGCAAGCAATACTTAGCAAGGCCGAGCAACGCCAGGAAATGCGAAGCAATGCCAAGCAATTCCACATAATACCAAGGAGTTCCAAGCAATGCGAAGCAATGCCAATAATACCAAGGAATACCAAGCAATGCGAAGCAATGCCAAGCAATGTCAAGCAATGCCAAGTAATGCGAAGCAATGCCAAGCAATGCCAATCAATGCCAAGCAATGCCAAGCAACGCGAGGCAATGCCAAGCAATGCTTAGCAATGCCGAGCAATGCTAAGCAATGCCAAGCAATGCGCACATGCAATAGGAAACTTTCCCCCAAAATGGGTCGCGACAGGTTCATGCTTCACGCAACCCGTCGCTCGACCCCCCCCTCCTCCTAACTTTGAACGGAGGTCAAAGGTGAGTCTACGAACGGCTCGTCCGCATCCGCTTGGGCCCAAGCGGCGCACCGTTTCAAAACATATGTATGTGCGTATGCATGCATGTATGTATGTATGAATGTATGTATGTTTGGATGTATATGCATATCCGTGAGCATCGTGTGTACGGGGAACCACCGTATGCGGAGAACGGACACATTCCTTCGAACATGCACCATCTGACAATCTCCATCCCATGCCCCACCTCTGGGCTATTTGCCCATGCTTCTGGTAAGGCCGGGCCATGGGAGCGCTAGTGTATGATTTGGTTTACCATACCAGTGCCCAGTTCTTGAACCATATTTGGCTACCTGGGGCCGCCTTGGAGCCCATCTTGGAGCATCGGAGGCCCTGTTGGAGGCATCTTGAGCAGAACATGACCCTCCAATACACGGCGGTCGGCCCCAACCAAACAACAGGGAGGGAAGGGAGGGCGTTCCCCCCCGAAGGGAGAGGTTTTTGGAAACAGGAACGAACATATCGCTAGACCACATTCGCCCAGAGGGCTTGTGGGATTAACCCCCCCTTTGTCGGAGGCCAGGCAAATGCCTCTTGGGGCCCTTTTGGGCCTCCCCCCGTTTTTGGCTCCTGTTTGGGGCCTCTTTTGCCATCTTAGGTCCATCTTGATGCCTCAGAACCTCCATTGGAATCAAACTCGCGAGAAAACAATGCACCTAAGCGTTCCCTAGCTGTTGGAGGTCGGCTTGTCGGGGGGGATCCCAGGGAAGCTCTGTGGCCACTTGGAACCGCCTTGGGAAGGTCAGGGCGTCAACTGGAGGCGTGCTAGAAGTTATCTGGAGTCGTTTTGGACCGTCCTCTGCGATCTTGGGGTCATCAGGGGCCCTCTTGCAGCCATCTTGGGCCATCTTGGACGCTCCAATGCCTCACGGCGGGGCCCGTCCAGACCCTGTTGGAGGGGGCAGAAGGGAGAGGTCGACCTCTCCCCGAGTGGGAAGAGGGAGGTTGGAATCACGAGCTCGCCACGCCCAAGGAAAGAGGCTGGTCGGATACATGGCTGAAGTGAACGTCGGGTTTCGTACGGGGATGCAGTCCGTGCGAGCAGTGAGGTAGCAGTGGGTGTGTACGAAACTCTTGGCTCCTGCCTCGTCCTCTCGCGTTCTCCGTGGCCGATCGTGAGCTGCGGGCCCACCTCCGGTTCCCCCCCCCCCCCGCCCCGCCGCTAACTCCGCCTCCCTCCTCTGCTTTCGCATGCACCAGATCAGGTGCGGGGTCCGCTTCCCCTTCTCGATGGTGCGTTAACATTTGGTCGAAGTCGTATTACTTGAAATGGTTGTTTTGCACTTCTTCGGACTCGCTTTCACATTCCCACTCGGACTCAGGATTTCGAACTCGTCCTCATCGTTCATGGTGCTGCTGTCTTCTTTCCTTCGATCATCAGTGTCATGCTTTTCTCGGTGCCCTCCTCTTCTGCCAGCAGTGGCCAGGCATCCGAGCAGCTGCCTGATGTGGGTAAGCAGGGTGGGCCGCGAGGAACACCGTCCTGAGCATGTTGTGTGTACAGAGACCGGGGAGCTCTTCAGACAAGCGGACGCTCATGCGGTCACTGCTGCAGCTGCTGCCGCTGCCACCTTTGAACCTGCGCCCCCTCCGCCCGCCGGGTGGCCCTCCGAGGCGCGGGGCGAGGTGAACGACAGGGCGCCGAAATGGATGATGCGACAGGCCCAGCGCCCCCTCTCCGCAGCAGCACCCCGCGGCGGCCGTTTTGCAACTCACCGCCGCCCCCAGTAGTTTTTTTCCCCCGAGGGCGGCGCTTTCTTTTCAGGCGGAGGGGGAGAAGGAGGAGGAGGAGGAGGAGGAGGAGGAGGAGGAGGACGGGGAGAAGAAGGAGGAGAAGAGGAGGAGGAGAAGGAGGAGGAGCAGGAGAAAAGGAGGAGGAGGAGGAGGAGGA